TGTAACTTATAATTTAAGTTTTACAATTCTTTTTTAGAATATAAAATTAGTCTAAATTGATGCTAGTAAAACATAACAATAACAATAGATTAAAAATATCCAGTTAAGGAATTAAAATTTTAAAACATATGATAGATTAAAAATTAACGTTACTCTATTAATTAAAGTAACTGCATATAATTTTACCAATATGTTAAAGTAGCAAAAAAAACATAAGTACCATTAATTGATAGAAGACTGAATCGCATAAAATTGATAAAAGATATAATATAATAGATTAGTTAATTAATTATAATTTATAAATATTAATCTCTAGTGGTAATAATATTTACAAGATGAAAAAATACAAAGATTTATGTATGGAGAAAGATCAGAAAATTTAGAAATATCCTTCAAAAGAAGCAAACAATTTTTATTTCAAATAGAAAACTGAAGGAAATAAACACAAAATTTGGAAACGTCAATGGATCACTTCAATTGACATTAACAAATATATCAAAGAAGCACCGACTGAATTCCCCTTAAAGAATATATTGAACAACTTTTTCCAAATGAAAGAAACATTCTTCATGGAAGATAAAAGAAAAATTAGCACGTCATGACTCTCCATTAGCAAAAAAAATATAATTACGCCCTTTTTATTTTTACCATATGGTGTCATGACTCTGTGTTACTTTATTTACGGATATGACTACTAACGAAGGATCAATTCTTAAAGATACAATCAAAGATATAATAGCATTATTAGATTTTAAGATTTTTTAATATGAAGGTAACATATTTCATTACTAAAATTCTTATTAATAACCATTAAATATAATATTCACCTTAAATTCTTATTAAAGTTCTCAAATTTCTAGAGGAGATATGCATATCATCGTAAATTGCGTTAATAATATATATCAACCCAAAGATATAACTTGCTGAAGAAATAAGAGAATAGTACGTAAACCAAGCAAACATCCATATAACACAATAAAAAAAAAAATATTATATTTTAAAACTAATATGTAGGGCTCTTTCAGAACAAGCTGCCAAGACAAAAGTATCTCCATCAAGGCTCTTTATAAATGTAAAAAAAATCAAATTACTGATATATGCCATCACAACATTCGAAAGAGATATGATGTTAGAAAACCTACTCCAAAATTCATACAATTAAACTTAACAATAATTTACTAAGTTAGAATTAATCTTTAGCTTATGATTTTTTTTATAAACTATTTTCTATCATTTTAGCCCACTTTAAATTAATCATCTTGGCTTATTGGATTTATTATTCGTCTTCCTTTTATAATGCTATTTTTTAAGTGTTTTCACTTTTGCAGCGCTATACTTTATCATGTCAAGCTTAGTTTCATGTCGGTCCAAATGACATGAAAATTCAAATTGGCTTCAGATTATATTTATCTCCTGACAATTTAATTATCAACATGGAAATTTAAATTTGGTGTAGCATATTCAAACAAACATTCAAAGAAATAAATAATCACAATGCTAAAGTTTAGAGATATAAGTGAGCAAAACTATCGAAGTGTAACCAAGAAATAAATTTTAGTAAGAAAATAAACCAGAAGTACTTAATCACGGTATTTAACCACATGCATTGCACGTGCATAAAATCTAGTTTACTCAAAAAACCGTCTTTACAAACCATTTTGTTCACAAAGCTTATCTGAAAAATTGTATCTGAAGGGAATTGTGGGATGACCCGGTTGGTTGGGAGGTTCCGGTTCGGATCTGAATTCGGTTTGAATATGGCTCCAAAGATCTTGAATTCGTTATTAAAAAACACATTAAACATCTTCCTTAGGGTGTGTTTGACAATCTCTCAAAACTGTGCCAGGTTCAAACTTGACCCAGTTTTGAAAGATTTTTTATTTAGCAAACAAGAGGGTCTGAACTGACCCTGTTTTCATAGGCCAAATAGTGGTCTTAAACTGGTTTTCATTTGGAACAGGAGGGTGCCGGTCCAAATGAAATTCAATTTAGCACAAAATTAGGTCCGGATTGATCCTGGCCTAGTTTTGACTTAGTTTTGTGTAATTTGCCAAACTGACCCTTAGTATAATGATTATAAATATACTCACAGGAATTTGTTAAAAATTCTACCCGTCAAATCACAGATGATCTAAGGAATTCGAACTTCATGTTACCTTTCATTTCAATTTAAAACGATATTAGAAAGAAGTATCTTTTATATCTCTGTACTGCTAATAAGATTCTTCTCAAATTTGATCCTATTTATATGAAATTATTCGCATATAAACCAGTTTTGGATCAGAGTTGGATATAGAATACTAAATTTAACTTGCATCTGAACCCCCAGGATTGACATTTATTTTGCATTCTCTCTCCTTTCTCTTATTGCTGAAGATAACTATATGCAGAACAGAAACAACTTTAAGCACCAGGAACCATGAAATTAAAATAAAAGTCAAGACGAGTTGCTTAGAAACAGATAAAAGCCAATTAGCACATCGTATAATGAACTTGTAAATACCAATAATAATTTACAAGTTCTTGGTTGTTATTTTTTGTGCATCTGCGTGTTTGCCATTAAGAAATGACTAATTTTAAGATATTGAGTTTGAGAATAAGATGGTTCATAAATCAGTCCCGGAGTCATCTATAATCATGGAATATATTTGGAATCGATAATATTTTATGTATTAAAATATTGAACAATTAAAAACTGCCATGTGCACAAATAAGAGTAATAGAAATGATAATATTATGAATAACAACTAAATGTAAGAAATAGAATAGGGAACGAGTGCATTAGTTATGAGGAAAGAGATTGTGCATGCTTAGTTAAAACTAGCAATTAGTTATGAGGATAGAGATTGCGCATGCTTAGTTAAAACTAGCAATTACTTATGAGGATAGAGATTGGGCATGCTTAGTTAAAACTAGCAAAATTCGATTGTGATAGTTTGACCTCGTGCAACTGAGACTAAATGCACTAATTAGAAAAGATAATGAGATTATGGTTAACTAAGAAGGAATATTAGAGCTTGGCCCCAGAGACCTCTTTTTTTTGGATAATAGGTTGGCCCCAGAGACTAATTAGGTACATACGTTGAAAAATAATATAATAGTGATTTACCTTTATGGAAAAAGGCCAAATTTAATTAACCTAAAAAAGAGTAGCTTAGATCCATAGAAAGTAATAGAATTTCGTGTAAATGGCCCAAAAGTTTTGGTATAATGTTGTTGTTATTGTGTATCTATATTACTCTGAGAAAATAAATAAAAATATTTATATATCATACTCACTTTAACTCGCAAAAAATCTTGAAATTTCAAAACTTATAACCAATACACATTAAATCTAGAAATTATAAGCAAATTGTAGAAGATTAAATTTTGCAAAAAGCAACACAAAGTTTCAAGAATTGGGAAAAAGTACCCTTAAAATTTTAGAGTTGTAAGAAATATCTTGACATTTGAAAACTTACCACTAACATATGAAATATTAAAATTACAAGCACCCAACTTAAAATTTAAATTAAAAAAACACTCCCTAAGTTTTAAAAATTGCAAAACTCGCCCTTGAAAAGTTGGAAATCACAAAAATAAAAGGCTAAAATTTCAAAACTCGACAAAGAAAAGAGTAATTGTTTGATATTCTTTTATTAAGATATATAAATGTAACTTATAATTTAAGCAACTTCACCAATAGTTGAAGAGATCATGTACCTGAGTTATTAACAGGAAGACAGTATACTAGGCAACTAATCTCAACTATTCCTAATGTCAACTCAGAAAGGAGTAAAATGAACACAAGTATCAACTACAAAAGTAGTATGATGTGTTCTTCATCCACCCACAACATTACTGTTCATATAAAAACAGAAGTAATGTAATGACCATAAAATATAAAAGACTATATTTAAGACCAATATAGGTTATACAAGTCTATTCCCACCCGCACTTTCTCTCCTTACCCTTCTTCCCTTCCCATCTACCAATAAATTGTTTTATCTTTTACCCTCCTAAACTAGTATGGTTAATGATGCCTCCCCTTTTCCCACTAACAATCATATCCTTCCCTAACTTCTAGATGGTGGAACTAGAGAGCTTGAGACAATGATTAAGAACACAATGAACCAATAGGATGCAATTGGGAATGAGAGAGAAAAAAGAGACAATCCTAACACCACCACCAAAAACCTCCATATGCACTAATGATGATTCAGTGAATATGTTTGAAGGTTAGTTCTCACGTGTCCTATAGTAAGTTAATAATTTCCAAATTGACAATGCAATCATTTGCGACAATCAGGTATTTGTACACCGACTGGTGGGTAAGCTAGAGTCCAAATTCTTATGGTCGTAAAACTCACTTATCTGCTACAAGGCACCCAACTGCTGACAACTTAAGTGCCTTCCTAGATCTAAGATTTATTACCTAAAATAACCAAAAATTTTCGAACATTACCATTCCAAAACAAGTGCAATCTTAAACCAGACTTCATCTGAAGTGCTATGCTATGTAGCACGGACACGGATCCGACACGGCCATCCGACACGCCGACACGAGGCAAATCCTAAAAAATACATAGGATATGTGTGTTCGACACGTGTGTCCGACACGGACACAACACGACACGGCTTCATGTTATGCGTGTCCGTGCTTCATAGGTGCTATGTAGTAGCTTCCAGAAAGATTGTCATGCACATACTCTAAAGGAAACATGAATATGTTGAATAAAGAAAAGGGTGATAGTGCATAGATGAGTCCCATGGTCACAAACTTCAATTGATCTCAATACAACATTGCTGATTAGCAAAAATTAGGAAAAAGAAAATGAAACTGTATGATTAACTACAAAGATGAAAGTCTCAATCCAATATATTCATCTGGCAAAAGCATTGACATGTTAATGCTCAAGCTTTTAGAGATACCCTGTTTAAAAATCTATTAAAATTCAATAGTTAACAAGGCATGAAAAAAAAAGGAGTGGAAAAGGCTAATACAGATATGAAGAACAAACCGTATGAAAGCCTTCATATTGTTGTAAATGGATCTTCCTTCACCAACTGCTGCAACTATTGTGCTGAAATTATCATCTGCTAAGACCATATCTGAGGCTTCCTTAGCAACCTGGAAAGCGTCCAGAGGGGAAAAAAGGGAAAATTGAAAATGATTACAAATAGAATGATCAACCTTTTCTGGTATAAAGTAGCTGTTATTACCATCATTACCATTGACTGATAAATAAGTTAACAAAAAACTTCCCAAAACATGAACCAGTAAAATGTTAAAATAAAGGGTGAGAATGGGTGAGAGGTGACCAGATGCCCGCACCATTCATGTTGAACCTGAATGTTTTCAATCCCCTAACTGTCCATCATGCCATTACAAATCAAATGGTCATGTTGTAAAATTCTTTCACACCCATATAGACTGATGGTTCTTGTCCCCATATGTTTCCAAAACACTTCTTTTGCTTTTGCCGATTTGACGTTGATTACATGCATACACAAAAATGCTATATAATATACATGAGTACATATATAACATATATATCTGTATGCATGTATAATTCCTAGATGATCATTAGGCAAAAAAGCCAGATAAAATCACTTCACTAAGGGGGATTTTCACTGCAGAAAGTAAATTAAAAGACAAAGCAGCATATAGGAGATTACCTCAGTCCCTGCAATACCCATTGCAATACCGATATCTGCCATTTTCAGAGCAGGGGCATCATTCACCCCATCCCCTGTCATTGCAACCACTTCACCATCTTCTTTTAGCAACCTCACTATCTCTTGTTTATGCTTGGGCTCAGCCCTGGAAAAGAGAAGTCCGCCTTTTTGCCTCAAAAGACTCTTTTTATCAAGGTGAAACATAAATTCTTTGCCAGTAAGGCTCCTCATGCTAATATCCTCTTCAGGTCTGAATACACCTATTTCACGACAAATAGCTTCTGCTGTTTCTTTATTATCACCAGTTATTACCATAACTCGAATTCCAGCTGCTCGACAGTCCTCAATCGCCTTGTGAACCTCTTGTCTTGGAGGATCCTATGATGGAAATTATGACAAATGAGAAATATCAGTCAATGTATACAGATGACTGGAACAGGTTCTATTTGTACGGCAGGTCACATATGGCTGTCAGGATATAAACCAGTACGTACCCGAAGGCCAACCATGCCAACAAAAATGAGGTCACTTTCAATTGATGAATAATTAGAGGGATCAAGTAAAAGCTTGTGAGCTGGATGATCTTCGCCATCGTAAGTTGAGAATTCTGCCAGATCATCCTTATACGCAAAACCCAAACAGCGTAAAGCATTTGTGGACATCTCATGTAGAGCTTGTAAAATAAGATGTTTTGAATTATCATCTAATAGCACAACAGAACCATCAAGCAATTGAACATAGGCACTTCTCTCTAATAAACTCTCCACAGCACCCTGATAAATAAGAGAACAGATAACCAATCCATTATCCCAAAAATAAAATTTTTAAAGACGTCAAAGAATTAAATTTAGGGGAAAAATTGTAAAACAAAAAAATAATTCTGTTATTTAGAATATAAACTCTGGAAGAATATCTAACCATGACACGCACTTCTTTGCAAACAGCATCAGCCAAACAGAAAGAAGGATGAAAGATCTCAATTCAAGCATGCATCCTTCAATTCAAAAAAAGATGAGAATGTTTGCAATATACCTTTACAAGTAAGGAATTGCTTCCTGATTTTGATTTCACAATAACTCCCATTGACTTTCGAGTCCGATCGAACTCAAGAGTTGCAATCCTTTGGGCAGTCCCTTTCCACCATTGACAGCATCCTTAATATAGAAAGAATAAGCAACAAATTACACTTTTTTCACAAATTTGCTTAAATGTAGTGATCAGAGAATGAAAAGAATAATAAAATGAGATACATACGTAATAATCCATCAGATTCCAGCAGTGAAGGACTACATCCTGCTGGCAGTCCCATTTTCTCAACAAGGACCTGAAGGAAACAGGAACAAATACTACAGATTATTCTAACCAGATAAGCCAAATTTGTCCCAGAAATAAGTACAAGTTCTTGTAGCAACAAATTTACTATTTCACCTCTCCTGCTAGTCTTCATCCCCATCTACATTATTATATAATCTATTCCTATAGAAGCAAGAATATTTTTGACTACCAAGATGAGACGCCTTAGTAAGTATTTTTGTTCTTTTCATATCCGAGATCAAGAAAACAATCTCTAAAGGAATCCCAATTTAATTTATCAGCACACTCAACCTTTTGCATGCATGCCCTCACAGAAAATCTTAAATTAAAACATATATTAAGGACCAATCAAACAGCTCTATAGCATATAACAGTTCTCACTTAATCATCACCTATGTTGCATGGGAACATGTATGGATATGTGTTTGGGACACGGAAAATTTGTAGAAGGTAGGGTAGGGGGACACGGCTATAGAAATATTTATATACACATATAGTATATATTGGAATTAATAATTTACATGAGGAACAAGGATATTAACATTCCTATAACATTTTTATGTTTCTTTATTATGTGGATTATAAATTGGAAAATCACTAGTTTTGAACTAGACATCAAAACAACACTTCAAAATCATAATTCAACCTATGTCCAACGAGTTTCAAGAAGTGGATGTGAAGTGTAGGATTTATGTCAAAAAAATGTATAACAAATGTTTCAAATTAAGGTACGTATTGTATAATTGAGTACATGCCAGAATAAATGTGCATATATGCAAGGAGTGTGTCGAAGGAGTCCGGTTACGGGTACAACTTGAAATTAGAAGTACCTAGGTAACAAAGATCATCATTGATGAAAACCATATTGTTGAAGCCTACAAAAAAGCTTGGATACTGCTTTTTCAGACCCCCCCCCCCCCCCCCCTTTGCTTGCCCGTTGCAGTATTATTTAGAATCAGGCAAGTTGAGTATGCAGACTGATCAATAACTTCTTGCCTTCAAAATTGTTTCACACGTCCATTATTGCAGTCATGTTTTGTGATGCTACATCAATAAAAGATCACATTTGACTTAAATATCTACCCTTCTTCGGGAATACCCTCTTCTGAAAGGTTTTATAACTTATTCAATCTAGACGGCTTAGCTAGTCAACTGTCAGTTTTACCCTTTTGTTATCTACATGAACAATTTTCACCTTCAAGTTCTTCTTAGTCACGAAAAATTCTGAATTGCTGTTTGTTTGCAAAAGCATATGCAAAATGATAGAGTAAAACTTCTTGTATTTTTAACTATAACTGGTTTATCTGTTTTCTTGGGCACCTTAACCTTCAGAGCATCCTGGTTCAAGAATTTGGCATTAAAATTCAGATGGCTGATATATAGCCAACAGCACATTGTGAAAATTTAGACTTTAGAGGTGGTCTACTTCGTAGATTAACTCATTTTTCCATATGAAAAAGTCCTAGATGATGGCCATGATGTTATAAATCAGTTCAAAAAGAAATACAAAGTGCATAAAAGAATTTGGCATTAAAATTCAGATGGCTGATATATAGCCAACAGCACATTGTGAAAATTTAGACTTTAGAGGTGGTGTACTTCGTAGATTAACTCATTTTTCCATATGAAAAAGTCCTAGATGATGGCCATGATGTTATAAATCAGTTCAAAAAGAAATACAAACTGCATAAAAGAAAATATTTTAACCAAAATGTTGACAGAGATACCTTATGACATGCATGCCTAAGTCCTGATGCATCAAAGATCAAGCAAAAAGTAATGAAACAAGTAGAGATTGTTCTATTAGTCCTTATTAATTCGTCGAAGGATGATAACAACAACGAGAACATGAAGAAAACTGACAAAACATTTTTGGTCACACGGTTATACAAGCTTGTTCAGAAGAAGCAAAATTATATCATGTAGAAATAAATAGATTTGCATATATATTGTTTAAGAGCAAAGTTTATAAAAGAAATAAAGTTTAACAAAGATATAGATTCATATTCTTAAATTCTTACCTTCAAAGCTGCCTCTGTTGGCATCCCACTGGCAACATACTGATGCCCAGAATGAGCAATACTGGCATCATTGCAAACAGCAGCAATCTTTGCAATCATTTGAAGATTAGCATCCATGTTACTGCCTGGCCAGTCATGAATCTTCCCATCACAAGGATCATATGTAGTCCCATCTACTTTAAAGCTTCGAAGACTATCTGTCCACCGCCCCATTGCCAAGAGCTTCACTGCTGACATTTGATTTGTTGTCAATGTACCCGTCTTATCAGAGCAAATCACTGTAGTACATCCCAAAGTCTCAACACTTGGCAACTTCCTCACCAATGCATTCTTCTGTGCCATCTTCCTCGTTCCGAGTGCCAAGCAAGTCGTAATCACAGCAGGCAACCCCTCAGGGATTGCAGCGACAGCCAAAGCCACCGCAATCTCAAAGTAATATGTACATTTCTCGAACGAAAACCTAAAATTCCTTGGCCACCCATCAACGTAGTCCCAACTCAAGAAATACTTCACATTAATAAGCCAAACCAAAGCACAAATCACACCAATTATAGCCGTCAAAGTCTCTCCAAACTCATTCAGCTTCTTCTTCAACGGAGTATCATCATCCTCTTGTGAAGCCTCATGGATTTGTGAGTGAATCTTACCAATTTCAGTATTCATACCAGTTTGCACAACCATACAAACACAGCTCCCATTGACAACAGTCGTCTCCAACTCAACCCTCTTATTAGTTTTATTCACAGCCGCACTCTCTCCAGTCAAAGACCCTTGTTCCACTCTCAATGTCGAGCTTATCAAATACAAAACCCTCATATCAGCTGGCACCTTATCCCCAACTCTCAGCTCCACAATATCCCCCGGAACAAGCTCCCTCGCGGGCAAATTAGGGGTAAAAACCCCATCTCTTTTCACCATAGCATGCTCCGATTGAATCTCTTTCAAAGCCTCCAATGCTTTCTCCGCATTGTTCTCTTGCCAAACCCCAACAACAGCATTCACAATAAGAATCAAGAAAATAACCAAAGGCTCCACAAATGCAGTAATCCCCATTTCTCCTCCTTCATCTCCATCATACCAAGCGAGCACAAAAGAAACCACAGCGGCGACCAAAAGGATTCTCACAAGAGTGTCATTAAACTGCTCGAGGATTAGCTGAAAGATCGACGGCCCCGAGTGCTTCTCGAGCTCATTGGGACCGTAGATCTTGAGCCTATCCGAAGCTTCGGCGGTCGAGAGGCCTCGATCGGCAGAGACTTTGAAATGAGACTCGCATTCAGGGATTGTTTTGGACCAAGCGGGGAAATTTGATTTAGGAGGGGTTAGATCGGCTCTTTTCGCTTGATCTTGCCCTCCTTTTCCCATCTTTGTACGAAATCAAGGATAATAACACGAATTTCTCTTAAATGGCCATTAGATCTGGAAACCCTAGAATGGAGATTCTAGTGAGAAATTACCGTAAATAGAACTAAAAGCTAGGAAGACTGAGACTTGGTTAGGGTTTGATTACCGGATTTGGAGAAGGAGTTGATGGATTGATTTGAGATCGACTTCGAGAGTTCGATTTCGATTCTTCCTTTGTTTTGGGAAGTGAGATTGATGTAAAAGAGGCGCCTTTTAAAGACGAAGACGGATTTTGCCTTCGGTTCCTATCGCTCTTTTTTATTGGACACGGAGAGTGCTTCTATATAGGGAAACCATTGTTGTGCGCTTTTGCACTAATAACCTCAAGTGATTTCGAATTTGCAAAAGATCATGTCAGTGTTACTTTATTTTTTTAATGAAAAAATAATAGAAAGTTTAACATACTAGACATTGTTGAGAAATGAATTTTCGTACATTATAAGTGTTAAATAGGAATACAAGTCGCTTCACATTATGTTTTCACATAGGAGGGGTTAGTCCTCTAGAACTTAAAATTAGAACTGGGATAATTTATTGGATAAATTTTTAAGGTGTTAGTCGCATAGAACTAGAAAATGAGATATTTTTTATAGTGTTAGTCAAGTAGAACTTTTGTAGAACTAGAACTGTATTATTTTTTTGGTGCGTTAGTCAAGTAGAATTCTACTAGAATTAGAATTGGGATAATTGGTCATAATTATCCCACAAATTATACTACCTATATATATAACCATAAGTTCTCCTCTCTCAAATTATCCCACATATTGGAAAGAATACAATTAGGAAAAAAAAGTGAAACGCCGCCCCCTCCCTCTTGGTTAGTTTCTCCGCCTAGAAAATTTCTCTGCCATGAAGTCAATCATCCGTTCATTTTTCTGTCTTTACTTTGTTTTTGTGATGATTAGATCTTTTATTATTATCTTCAAGATGTATTACTTTATTGATAGCTTTTTGACGTTAAATTACTTTATTATTATTTGTTTGATCTAAGTTTTCTTTCCACAACAGTGGTTTAGGTTAAAAATATAGTGTTGGTGGGTTAATGCTAAAGTTATGCGGGCTATTTATGTTTTTTTATAAGTTAGAAAGCAACTTTGCGATCACATTGATTATTAGATGTTGAATGGTTAATGGTGATATCTATTATTATTAAATCGGCTCACTAAATTGATTGGGATATTTATAGTTCATCTGTCGATCATCTGTTTAGCGGCCATGGATGATTCCTGTGTACATTTCATTTATTTGCTGATTTGTTTTCAGCGATCATGATGAGATTGGTCCAAAGGGTTAATGGCTGAAAAATGCTTATTTTTATTTCTTTATGATGTTATGAGATTTGAACTTCGACATTTATGATCCTCCACTAGAAGCTCCACGAAATGTTCCTAATATAGACGATGACTCCGATAAAGAAGATGAGTTACAGACTCAACGAGCAGCTATAGGAGTTTTGGAGAAATTCTATGGCAGATGCCATGTGGGATGATAGAAGCCATGTGGGATGATGGAAGTCCAGTCACTCTAAGGATTTAGATTTTTATTTATTTATAAATTTTTTTATTATTTGAGATGAATAGTGATGCTTTATTGCATTATATTTTATAGTTATTACTAGAATTTGCTTATCAATATTATATTATTTTTAATATACAATTATGAATAATAGTAATTTATACCCACCATTACCCCCACCAAATTATCCTACCAATTTATGCAACTTCATAATATTATCCATCATTATCCCACCAAATTATCCTGCCAAATTATCCCACTTTACCAATTATCTATCATTGTTTCACTAAATTATCCCAGTGTCAAAAAATTATCCCACTTTACCAATTATCCCAGTTCTACTTAAAAAGTTCTAGGTGACTAACTCCCCCATACTGATAAAAGCTAAGTAAACTGTAAGTGTTTTCTAATTGATTCTACTCATTAACTTTAATATTTTTTATCTGTTGACAAAGTTAATAATGAGTGCAGTCAACGTAAAGTTTTTTGTATTGTTGAAAACAAGAATACATATAATAAAATGGTACTTAAATACCCTCCATTGTAAAGAGCAACATTTTAATGCCTTATTTTAATGCCTTAAGTTGTAAAAAATGGTGCATTAGTACCTTTTGATAGTTGTTATAAAAATATTCCTATGAATATGTCTTGACAACGAACAGAATGTATTAAAATACTACTTTCTTACAATTTAAAGTATTGAAATATTACTTTCTTACAGCCTGGGATATTAAAGTGTTATTGTTTATAACTTAGAATGTTTAAGTGTAAAAATGGTGAAATAATAAGGTATTTAAGTGTCAATTTTACAACTTGGGGGTAATAAGTGCTTATTTTCTACAATGTAAAATATTAAAATGCTACTTTTTATAATTTAAGGTATTAAGTGTAATATTAAGTATATGTAGTGAAACAATAGGGTATTTAAGTACCATTTACTTGAGCAAACTATCTAAAGAAAGATAAATAAGATGCACTTCTCAAACTAATTAAATACGTCTAAATTTAGATTATCAACCTTAATAGCACCATTAACATTTCAAGAGTATTCAATAATCACAAGTCAACTAGAAATAGTGAAATGAAGGAGACCTTTCGCAAAATATCTACATCTCAGGGTTGTAATAAAAATAACTCACTGGGTGAAAGAAGGCAAAAGTGCATTAAATCATACTCCTTTAAAAGCACGAGTTCAAAAAATCTTTTTAGACAAATATACCCCTTTATAGTTTGAACTACATTATCTATAATCAAATTCTAATTTTCAATGGTCAATATTACTCTTCACTATTTTGAATATTTTATTTATATCTTAATCTATCCTAATCATAATCATATCTTATCCTAATCCTATGTGAACCATGTTTAGCTTAACAATTTAAAAAAACTAATATTAATAAAATATATAAAACATAAAAATGATATTAGTTTGTTAAGATAAAGAAATTACAAGTAGATAACATATTATAATACCTGAAGTATTGCAAAAAAACCATAAAAAGTTTTAAAATTACAAAAAAGACCCTGAAAAGTTTAAAATTATAAAACTCATCCAAATGTCTCAAAACTTAAAATAAAAAACATGAAATTAAAAAATTAACATCAGTTTGCAAAGAATTTAAAATTTACAGTTAACACCTCAATGTCTCAAAAATTATAGAAACACCCTCAAAAGTTTAAATTACAGACAAGCACATTAAAATTCTAAAATTTTAAAACTTACAGACAACACAGATGAATTCAAGAGATTACCATGATACACCTAAAATTTTTAACATTTAAATTTAATTTTTTTAATTAACACCCTCAATATTTCAAAAATTATAGAAACACCTTCAAAAGTTCAAATTATAAAAAGCCACCCTAAAATTCTAAAATTTGTAAATAAAATAAGATGAATTCAAGATATTACTCTTAGACACCTAAAAATTAAAATTTGCCAAAATTGACCTCAAAATTTTTAAAAAACTCCTTCAAAATTTAAAAATCGTAAAAAAACTCTAAAATTTCAAAATTTTTAACTAGCACACATCAAATTTGTCGATTGGTAGACCACTGAAATTTAATATTTTTCAAAATTAATCTATATATTAAAATTTCTAATTTAGGGATTTACTATCCATTTTCAGCATCTAAGAATACTCTAAGTTGATATTGGTAAACAAAAACAATAAGAATTGATTAAAAACATCCGGTTAATGGATAAAATTTATAAAAATATTATAGATTAAAAATTATCGGCACTATATAAATTAAAGTAATTTCATATAATTTTAGTAATAAGTTGGGGTAGCCAAAATACATTCGTAACATTAATTGATAGATGTTTAAATCCATAGAAATGATAAAACACTATAATATTATACCTTAGCATTAATTGATTTTAATTTAGAAACTTTAATCTTTGACGTTAATAATATTTATAGGGTAAAAGAATACAAGGAATTACATATGGAGAAACTATTAGAATATTTAGAGATAACTTTAAAAGAATTGAGTTATTTCCATTGTAAATGGGAAATGATGGAAATAAATCTAAAATTCAGAAAACGTCAATGAATCATTTGAATTGGCATTAACATAAGACATATTTATTAATGAAGCACTGAATGAGTTACATTAAAAAATAATTTAATAACTTTATCCTAATCAAAGAAAAAATCTCTATGAAAATCACTTGAATTGGCATTAACATAAGACATATCTATTAATGAAGCACTGAATGAGTTACATTAAAAAATAATTTAATAACTTTATCCTAATCAAAGAAAAAATCTCCATGGAAGACATAAGAAAAATTAGTAAGTATTCATAAATTCCATACTGTGTTCTTCAAATTAAATATTAATATTATAATCTAAGAGAAATTGGTAATGAATAATGCAGGTATTCAGTTTAGATCTTTATGAAAAATAACAGGAATAGAACAAATGTAATATTATTGAAATAACAGAAATTCTTATTGGATGCACATCAGAAGAATTCATTTTAGAGGAAAATAAAGAGATAGCTTCTAATTTATTTAAGTAATAAATTAGGAACACAAAGAATTTTATATATATGAAATTAATATTTTATTCTCATTGAAATAGAAAAAAAATCAAAGTCTATATTTTGAGCAGTTTGTGTTGAACATTATAAGTACATTTGACTTCTTTGTAAAGTTAAATGAGATGATAAAAAATTAACGAGCCCAGGAAAGATAATAGCATAAAAATACAAAATTAGCCTGATGTCACAATTGATGTAAATGATGAAGACAATACTCTAGAATTGTCCGAGAAATAATAAATGATAAACCTGAAGAAGAATTGATCTTAACTCAATAAAAAATAAAATAGAAGAAATAAAAATAATATTTTATGAATATTTTATAGAATAGTTTAATTATTTTGAGTGAAATTAGGAATCTTTAAAATAAAGTTTCATGAATTTTTTCAGTACTTTTATATTCTTATGTGGATGTTTTTATCATATAAAAGTATACTAGAGTTAGCATTAATCTTTAATTTATATTTTTTTATGAAGTCTATCAATGATTAGGAATAAACATCATATTCTCTTTTGCATCGTTTTAACATACTTTAAATCAATCATTTTGCTATATTGGTTTTAAATATTCACCTTCCTTGTATAACACTATTTTAATATTTTTCACTTTGCAATGTTATACTTTCTCAAATAAAGCTTAGTTTCATATCGATCAAAAATAATATGAAAATTCAAATTATTTTTAAATTATATTTGTTTTGTGTCAATTCAAATATAACATGAAAATTTAAATTGGGTGTATCCCATTTAAACAAACATAAAAAAATAATCGGGATGTAAGAGTTTAAAGAAAAAAATAAGCACAAACTGCCAAAAATACTTAATCATGGTATTAAATCACGTGCATTGCACGTGTGTAAAAACTAGTTACATATAAAAGTACAATAGGCCAAACTTTTAAAACAATAACTTGCAAGGGTCTACTAGGCCTACGACGTCAAGTGACCTTTCACCGTCAGAACAAAATACAAAATTATATGCAAGGAAATCTCCGTAGCGCCTACGGATGGACCTAAAAATGGAAATGGTTGGTGGAGGCAGCATCTTTGTACCCACTGGGCTATTTTCGTAAACGTGGTCCGGATGGAATATCACCGCTTCCGATGTGGTCCTGCGCTTTACACATTATGATCCCGGCATCAAATCCTGGCCATTAAAAAAAACCTATGATATAAACATTGCTGTAAAGTTAAACTTTGAAATGAAAATGCATATACTTTCCTTCTACCAATTAATCGAACCATATGCTTTACCTAGAGAACTTGAGCAACCACCTTTACTAATGTCTCATGATCCCTCCATTTGATCAGCTGTCCGCAGTGTTGACAGCAAGAGGAAGCTAAGTCTTTTTAGACATGGTTATCACACATGTTAATGCGTCAAAAATTTGCAGTTCTACTTAGTTATAAACTTGTCATGAAGAAATAGTTGTACTATTACCGACAGTCTCACGGCATCGAAAAAGTCTCCATAAGACTATTGAGGAAGTTGCTGCCAGGGTTTCTCTTATATCACATGGACGAGGTTACAAGCATAGCATGTCCCATGCAAATCATCTGTTACGAATTTGAGCCAAATAAACATCAATTTCCTCGCTAAGTAGTGTAACATCATATTTTGGTCCTTGGCCTTTCTTGCAATCAATGACAACTTCATCTTTGCATTCCATGCATATGCAAGCCCTTAATAAAAAAGATGGCACCTTCGGTGTTTCATAAAATGGAAGATTAACTGTGCATGTCCTTGTTGCATCAGATCCTGCGAATTTGCACAGATCAAGAAATACAAACTGGCCTGACTGGCCAACAGCCATTTGGAGCCACAGAGTGTTCTTGTTTGATACATTGTATAATGTTATCTGGAATGTGATACCCACAGGCAATCCTGAAACATAAAGAAGGGGGTTCTCAGAGTTATTTCCGGTGACCAATAATTCTGCTTTGATATGTTTAAATCCTCCAGCGAGTGGAAACTGCTCAAGGGAGAATAGTTCAAGTAACTTCTGAACAGGAAAGGGTTTGGGAACCTCAGTTGTTGTCTGTTCAATATAAGCCCTCTTTAGTTCTTCGTAAAACGAAGAATGTTTCAATTGTCCTTCTTCAGTAAGGCATTCTAAGCAAGAAAATGCAGCTTGCAGCTTGTTCAGTACAAGGCATGAGCATGTACCCACCTGGTACACTTTAAGTACATAAGCTAGCAAGGTAAGTTCTAAAATATGGCATTCTTCCTCCCTCGAGAAACCTGAAAAGCTATATCTCAATCTCTTTAAGCAACAATCTAACTTTTTCAATAGAAGATCCAAAGTGTTCATGCAAATAACATGTCTTGGTTTGAGCTGCTCCCATATTTCAGCAAGCAGCTGGATTACCTCAACATGGTATGATGCAAAGGCCAACAAAGCAGCAATACGTCCATCAGCATTCCAACCAATCATTTCCAGCTCTTCTTTGGAAGATCTGCATGGAAAATAAACCATAGCACATAAATGGAATTTTCAAGCACAGATTGCCATAGGCAAATATGACCAAAATGGTAAACATGAAAAAGCAGCAGAATTAGACCTTAGCATCCTTCGTGCTTTGTGTGTACGCTGTGATTGTATCAGCAGCCAGATTTCTGTCGCAGCTTTAAATAAAAGCTTTACAGATTGAATATTGTTTTCATCTAAGCAACTCACTTTCTGTCTTGATAATTCAAGGGAAGTTGATGTCTCGCTGGGATCAAACGGATCTTGCTGGAAACTGATTTCTGATGTTTCAATCGGCCATGAAGAGCTGCATAATGGACCAGTGCACTTTGTGTGATTTGAAATACCTTCTTCAGCTATGCATGACAATAACCCCGCATTGTTGAAATTCAATGTTCTGGCTGGAAATGGCATTCCACTGAGGTTGCACAAATGGACCAACAGAAAATCAGGGTGCATAACGTGTTTCAATGCACGAGAGATTTTTCCAAATAAAGGAAGAGCATATGCAAATACTGTTGGAGGAACATCAAACTTAGGTTGTCCTGAGCAAGACAATGAAAAAGCCAGCACCAGTAACGCTGCTACCTGGGGACAGTCCAAGCCCAGTTCTCCTTTGCAGAATGGTGCTATCTGGAACAAGGATGAAACAAGGAAAACTAATATAAAGACAATATTGATGTGCAAGTATTACAAACTTAGTGAACAATCCAAAATCTTTGTTGGGCTCATAGCAAAAGGTATGAGATTGCAGCAAAATGTAGATAAGCCTTCAGCAATCAATTTAATCATAATCTTCAAGAGAAATATCCCAAACATTGACCAGCCTTGGACCAATAGGCCATTTTCATCTTCTCCGTTCTAGCTATTTTTTTTATGGGTACAAAATGAGTACGAAATGAATTGCAAGGATAAAGATAAGTATGACTACTGTCATTTGGTTTTTCTAGTACTAAAAAAGTACGCTACAAAGAATGAGAAAACTTCCATGAAACTTTTTGAAATTCAACATTATCACAAAGCCTTCATTGTGTTATCCTTTACTTTTTTACTATAGTTTGGAAACGTATTCTTATCCTTATTGAAGGGAACTAAAATGTAAAAGAGAATTAAGCACGTCCTGAATAAACAAGACCGGACAAATCAAAATAATCTTTCTGTTACATAATTGCAAGAGAACATTTTGTTTCCAATCATTTCAGTAACTCAGTTAAGATTTCTAAATATTCGGGCAAATCAAAATAATCTTTCTGTTACATTGTTGCGAGCGAACATTTGTCTCCAATCATTTCAGTAACTCAGTTAAGTTTTCTAAATATCTCCTAGATGGGCATCCGTATTTGACAAGGCTTGTAAGTTTGACCTGCTAGAGCACGGGAAAATAGAAATTTCTACACTTTTCAGTACATAGGAAATCAAAGATAAGTTTGGCCACAATGTGATGACCAGTCACCTTTCCTGTTCGTATAACATCCAAGGCACATGGCTAATGCCTTGCTCAACTTTGGACTGATTGGTTTATCTCCCTACAGAAAAGTAGTAAGCCATAGCAGATGAGTAAGATTGCACTTCACAAAACATAAAAATGTCGCGAACTGATACCTTGACCCTTGGGCAGACCTCTAGATTTCGGACAAAACTATACAATACTATCCATTATACAGAAGACAAAACTTAACTTAAACAGTCATAATTTATCAACCAAAAAGAATAAAGCAACTCCATTTACAGAGAAGAGATAAGCTTGTACCTCTACCTCAAATCCCTGTACTCTCTTGGCTGTGAAGTTCCCATGATTATTACCAATAAAAAACAAAGCTGAAAATATATCTTCTTCTTCCTGAAATAAAGAGTAGCATAAGAGAAAATTGAAGTAATTTTCATATAAGCAAATGAAAGTTGATATAGCTCGGCATATTAAATGATCAACTGTAGTTAGACTAAAGTAGATGCAAAACAGTAAAAACTCAAAAAATCTACAGGGTTTGTTTTGATCCTTTAATGTTACCAAATATTAAGCTTTTCTTCAGTTAAAATTTGTGTTGCAAGATTCTATCTCAAAAGCATTTGGATGTTCACATTCATTCATAGGAATGCTTGTTTTATATGGATATAAAATGACGCTCAATTAACATAAAACACATTCATAGAAATGACTCTAGATGGACAAAGCACGTCAATACTAGAACTCATTCCCACAATGTAACACTCGTCAAACAGTAAGACAAAAGGTACTACTATTTACATGACACATTCTAACATACATGAGAAACCGACTTATTGTTAGATATCACGTAGGGAACACTGGTCTCCTGATGCTTAGGAAATTTTAGAAAATAAACAACCACCTTTCCAAAGAGCCTCAAAGAAAATGAATTACCATTTGTAAGGAATATTTTGGAAAACATTCACTCACACTTGTTTTCAATAGAGAATTTCTAAGAACAAGTCTGCACTGAAAATTAAAAGAAAAAACATAAAAAGACCTTCTAATTCTTTACATGTTATTGAGATGTCAGTGTGAACAAGATTAAGTTAACATACTGTAAAAGCAAAGCATTTCAATGCCCTAAAACCTGATGATATGTCAGAAAACAAAACTATGCTCATTTTCTGCATCAGTTCTCATATAATAGAATTGTTTCTGCACTGAGTTGGGCACT